GTGGTAGAGTGCCTAGAACTAACAAGTTGCTTTTGTGCTGTTACCAGGAAGCCGATGGTTTTATAAAGAAAAGATTGATTCTTCCTTGGTGTGCACTATAATTCTGCTACTGTTGTCTCGCTTAATAAAGACCCATTTTCCCACCAAGTTCAACAAACAATCATTGAACTGCTGGCGTTTCCAAGCAGCCGCATCCACTATCAAAAATCGACCAATAGTATAAAAAAGTAAACAAAGGGGGGAAAGATAACATCAAATAGAAAACTACAGGAAAAACAAAAACAATATTATAATACCATCTAATCATAAAGACGAAGTCCATGAGAGATGCCTAGCTAGCTAGATTCCTGTCTAGCCAAAGGCATGGCAACATCGATTGGCGGCACATTTCCTTTATGCGGAATATCATTCTTAGAATGTTTAATGTGCATGAGGGTGCATAGCGAAACCATGGCCATGAATAAAGCACCAAAACCACAAGGTATATGTGATATATTATTCAAATACGAGATGATGAGACTGAAATTAGACGTGTGTGAAAGAAACTGAACCGGCATATAGTTTTTTCAATTTGTTCTATCCATTGAAGTTTCTGGCTGAAAAATGGTCCCTCTGTGCTTCACATTTTGTCAGGTCCCAACCTAAATTTGATTAAACCAGGCAAGTTTCGCCCCTTCAACTGGGATTGAAGGGAGCTTTAGATGGCTTTCAGATTCCACCATAGCACATGGAACTCATCTGAACATCCATGTTGTAGGAAAGTTGCGTTAAGGAGCTTATTAATTTAACTAAATTTGATGTATGAAATCATTATCAAAAAATTGATAAATAAAAATAAAAATATTAATAAATTTTTATCATTAATATTTTACGATAATCTTTATCAATCAAATTTTTTTTTATTATTAACATCCTCAGTAAATATTGATAGAAATATATAGTCGGTGGAGACCATGCATAAGATCTTACCCTATAGTTTGCTCGCAGTTACCACATCTATAGATCAACCAATCAATCTGTAAAGCATGGCATGGTTTACAATTGTTTCAATATGCATAAATCTCATCCACATATATATCACCTGCTAGCTATACTCTGGAATAGCTTCTAGCTAGACGTTGTTGTCAATCATGTAACATCTGCTAACATCATTCAAGTTTTGTGGCATACCGACAATTCTAATATAATTGCAGTGCGCACTTGAGCAAAGGCTTTTTTTGGAGGATGACTAGGCCAACATATCATGTGGATTAGTACTTGCTGCTATGGCAATAATCTTGGTGGATGAGCATCCACTAAAGTTTTCTTAAGGTGGAGGGATTTATTTTATATTTTCTTTGTTCTAATTGTAAAACAACTTCACCCCACCATCAAGCTTTGTTTGTGATTAGGTGGTTGGAATGGGACCATTTGGTGTGTGTGGAGTTCACATTACAGGATTGGTACAGCCCATTTTATCATTCCTGGATAAAACTTAGAATGTGTTTGTTTTTTAATTTAAAAAAAAATTAAAATTTTTATTTCAAATTAATTTATTTTAATAATTTTAAATTACTAATATATTTATAAACAAAAAACTTTACTATTACAATCTCAAACACTATTTAAAAAAAAATAAAACCTCTAGATTTTCAATTCATTTATAAGCTCAAGGCACAAGCCCTGCACAAGAGGGTGGGGAAGTGGGGAAGAATAACTTTAAAAGGGGAGTCCACTAATGAGAATAGTGAACTAAATAATCCATAAAGATATCAACATTTTTCATATTTAAAATGCACAATTTCATCTTAATAGATACATTTCATAAATGTGTTCTAAGATTCAATTTGAAGCTTTTCGCCGTCCCAACATCATGTCTTGATCTCTTACAAACCATGAGGGCAGAGGAGAAACACACGCAATTTGAAGCTTTTCGCCGTCCCAACATTTCCATCGTCCCAACATCATGTCTTGATCGCTTACAAACCAAGAGGGAACAGGAGAAACACATGCATGATTGTCCTCCTCAGTTCCACAACATTTCTGGCTAATTCATTCAATTGTATATCAGTTCCACTTGACGGCTTCTGGCCAGTATAGACATCATGTACAAATCCAAAATCATCTTTCCCTTCCTTCGAGATTTGCTTGTCTAATCTGGCCGGAGTCTGCACTCCATGACTCCAGACAAAAGGTATCGCAAATATTTTATCAAGACCTTAATTAGTGAACATCGATCTTGGTACAACTTGCACGAGATCATGTTAGATTATATATGGATAGATTGCTTGTTAGTCTAGATCATGAACCAGCAGACATAAAGTAGTGGAGATTAATCTAGGGAAGATTCAACCATGATATGAACTTGATGACCCCCTCGTTAAGAAACTTTATCTGTGCCAAATCTGTTGGCTGCTGATATCACATTTCGTCCACCGTTTGGCATAAAATATGTTTTTCCACTCTTGTTTTGCTTTGGGAGAAGAGTAATTAAGCAGGAAAGTTCGTGTATTTAAAAAGTTTTTTTTTAATTTTTTAATTAATTGATACAGGGATGGTAAATATTAGTTACATGTAAGGGACATATAATATACATAGTAGTGACATAGGGAATTTCTGGAAAATGCTTCGCAAAAGGAATGAAATTTAATCAATATTTAAACATTGATTATCCTAAGATCGTACGTTAAGACTTCATAACGAAAACTAAACTCCGAAACCATATGGGAAAAAGATCAATTACAAAATAAATTAAGTTCATGCACCCAGTGCCATGCATTTTTCTTCATTTAATTGATCATTTGAAAATTTCAACTCTATAATTTCTGGAAAATGCTTCGCAAAAGGAAAGAAATTTAATAAATATTTAAACATGGATTATCCTAAGATCGTTATATATATATATATATATATAGAATAAATAAAAGTTTAGCTCAAGTAGTAGATGATTGCTTTCATCAAGCATGAGATAAATTCGTATGAAAACATAAAATTATAATATTTCTTTCTCTAATTAGAATTAGTTTGAATTAGAAGCCTGATGGCTCCCTTCTTTAGACCATCAGTCAACAAAAGTTTTCAAGGATTTTCAAAGAGACATTCCAGGTGCCATGATCTGCCGTGCAGACATTCCAAGTGCCATCACTCACATCGTTGTTCGTGAATAAAAATAATAACGACAACAATTAATATTATTAATAATAATAATAATAATTAAGCGACATGTTTTATTTAATAATATTAATAATAATAATAATAAAGCGACATGTTTTATTTTTTATTTTTACTTACTCTTTCATCTTTTTCACACTTCTTTTCCAAGAATTAATTATATTTTTAAATCAATAAATAATTAAGAAAATACATGTATCTTGTAGATTTGATATATTTTTAACTAAAAATTTGTTTTTAAAAAGACGCAGGTGATAAATCTTATTTCACACTAATTAACCTCTTCAATTCTGTGTGTAATTAACAACAAGAACAGTACAAAACATCCATTTTCGAGTGGCCACGTTTACATACCCAATAATCCAGCAATTAATCAGGAAGTTAAATTCCAAATCTTTCCTCCTCTTGTCAAAGATAGTTGGGCTGATGACACTAAAAAAATGTTGCTGGTAAGGACCCACTTGGTGACTGTTTCAGATAATACTTGAAGACCTGGGCATGAGGATGTCAGCCTGCAGCTTCTAAAGTTTATGGATAGATGTCTCTACCAAAACCAGTTTTTCCACCTTTAATTTTACCGACGGCAACTGCGTGCCAATTCTCGGTCTTCATCATTATCCAGAAGAGAGTTTTCTATCACAGTATGATCGGTCAGTCATGATGATGTCGACTATTAAATCTTCAATTTGAAGTTGACTAGGGCGCTATATGTATATATATATTTGCAAAAGAAATAGCAGTTAAATAAATTGAGTAAATGCTATTTAGTTATCTTGACTGATAAAAAATAATTGGATTATCTAATAAAAAAATTTAAGATAAAATTTAATATAAAATTAATAAAAAAAAACCTCCCAATACAAAACTTTTTTTATTTTAAATTAAAAATTAAATAATATAATAAATTTCTATCTAGTTATATTCATTTGATCGGTTTAAAGGTAATTTATTTTACTAGTAAAAATTATTTAAGAATAAAAATAAAAATAAAAATAATAAAATTGATAAAAAAAAATTTGATATAATTTCTTATTTAGATTTTATAAAATTTATATCAATATAATTTAATTGATTTAGTTGGTTTAAAACCTAAATAGCTGTTAAAAAAATTCTGAATTCAAAATTAATTGGAAAAAAAAAAACAGAGTAGATGGAAATAAAAAGGGGGCTTAATAATAATAATAATATATGTCACCTAACCGTATCAGACGTTACAGACTCGAAGCTGTCCTCCTTGAAATAACGCACTCTGCACTTGCTTTTTTCAACACAAATCGACTTATACTGACATGACTTGTTCATTTATCTGTACTCTAATATAATATATATTATTTTAATTAAAAATATATATTTAAAAAACACCACATACCACCTTACAAAACACACAGATAGTGTAAGAGGCTGCTGATGATAGTTTTGAGGGTTCAATTTCTGGTATTTTAATTAATTTCATTTCATGGCTTAGAACACTTCTTCAACCCAGTTAACATTTTCACTCAAAATCCCCACATGCAACAACAAGAGAGGGAAAGACCAAAAAAAAATCTCGCTTTGGAGCTAGCTAGGTAGCTATTCGAATATCATTTGCCTTGCCTTGAAAGCTGTTTGCAAACGGCGACTTTAGCTTGCTTGGGTTGAACTTGCAGCATAATTTATCAAACCTAAACTAAAAGCAAGATTAATCCTTTTGGCCAGCTCTAATAAATTTATTCTTGAACGACGACAAGTCTAGTAAATGAGAGCAAAGAAAAATGTAATAAATCAACACCCTCTATACCACTCCAATCAATTTACATAATCCAGCGTGAGAGGAAAAAAAACTAGAAAATACTAGAACAAAAATCATTGTCTTAAACTTGTTCATCACTTTGGCGATTGCAAGGAACTGGGTTGGCCAAATATGTAGGGCTGTCGTCACCAGCCATGATGACAACAATCTTTGGCTCCATTTCTGCATTCATCTCAACTTGGTTAGCGGATTTTTCTTGAACCTCGGGATCAGTAGTCGAACTGGAAGAAGATTTTCTATAGGAGCAAGCTAGAATCATCAATGCCACTGCAACAAGTCCAAACATTAAACCTATACCAGAAAAAAGGTATGGGATTGGAGAATTCCTATCTTGATAGCCTGCATGAACAGCAGGTGTAGTAGAGTTGAACGCAGGCCTCATTAATCTCTCTTCCAAGATGGTCTTTTTTCTTCCCTCTCTTGTTCTTCCTACTCTCTCCTTTTTTTGTTCGTGCAGGATGGTGAAGCTGGCAATGTTCTGTATTTATAGCACCATTAGTTAAAGTTCCACCGTGGTAGGATGAGAACAAGGGAGTTGAACAGGAAAGTCATCTCATTGCCGTTGGTTTTGGCAAGAATAGATGATGGAATGAATATGATTCTCTCTTGGGCTCTACTTATACTTTAGGGGAACATTGATTGACATGGGAGAGCCTAAATACCATTCTTTGTCCCTGAAAAACAATTGCCTAACCTGGTAACTAACTCATAATTAATGATTAGCTCTATCAAATCAAGTTGAGGATATGACTTTAGAATAGTAATTGGGTTGCTGTTAAGCATATTTAGGCGGCTCCAAAATCATTTTTTAATTAAACCTCCAATTAGATTCTTTTGGTTTATATTCCACACAAGAAATCGTTTTTAGTTTTCGATTAAAGTTTTAGAGGTGGGATTTAATTTCTAGACATGTTTATGATCTTGATAATCTATTTTCTTTTCTTTTATTTCTTAGGGTAGTAAAGGAAGGGTCATGAAGCCCACGAAAAGAAACTAAGACATGTTAATTTTGATAATTAATTATATCAACTTGCTTATCATATTTGGCCGAGGGCTCTAGAAAAGTTAATTGCAATACATTTGTGGATATTTGTGTAAATTTGGTGATAGGAAATTCAAGTTGCAGGGATGAAGAAACCACTGGCAGAATAGAAGTGAGCGTGAATTTGCCCCCAAAAGGGTGGCCCTTGCTTTGCTTGTCCAATTAGTAATATAGGCCCACTAAACGTCTTTACAGGGCCACTAGACATCTCCTTTATTCTCACGTATGCCTTAATTTTCTATGGGAAAAATAATGGATTCAAGAAGCAAAACTTTTCCATTTCCTTATACACTAATAATTGAGTTTAGGAACATCTTGCGTTCTCTGATAAAATATGTATTGACATTAGCAGTTTTTTTTACAGCAAGCAACATGCTTTCGAGGAGAAACAGTAACGTGGTTTTTGAAAATGAAGTACAGTTGGGTTCTTGTTTTAGACTTTAGTAGAATCATATCTTCTTTGTGCTTTGAATTCTAATCTGATTAGGTTCGGGTGCTTAACATATACAATGGAATCTTCAGAGGAGAAACAGGATTTGGCTCAGTCGATGCTGCAAAAGTCATTATATCTAGCAGAAAAGGTAGATTTGAGAAGTAGCTCATGGCTGCGAGAAGCCAGAAAGCTCCTCAAACTCAAAGACGTTGCAAAAAACAAAAGCCATTTTCTGTGCTTTAGAAGAGTGCTGACTATTTCCGGCGGTTTCTTTCTGATAATCATGCGCAAATGTGTAAATATAATCCCTCCTTTTCTTGCATATAATTATCAGATTGTTGTGGATGGACCCGGCATTACTTTCAGTGACCATTTGGAACTTCGTTTTCTTCCCATGTCAAGTATTTGGTGGCTAAATCACATTCAATTATCAATTAATTTCAGGAAAAATTATCATACTTTAACTTTTTTATTTCTTTTTTCAATTTCAAAACTAGTAGATACAGACATTTACAAAATAGCAGCAGCTTTACTGTATTTAGCAAAACTACTAAGGGCATGTCTCATTGATCAAGACCAATTAGATTTAGAAACAGAGTATCAGTACCACATCTTTAGCAATAACAAATACAAGCCCCGTCTAAGGAGGTATTTTTTTTCTTTCTCCTACACACTGGATTCAGAATGATGGGACAATCCCATATGCTGTTTCTGCCATTAGTGTTGACGAGAACATCTGGTCCACTTCGACATCTACATCTGTTCTCTTTGCAAATCGACCTTTTATCCGGGGTCTGGTCTCTGCATAGGCCTTCCTTGAGGCATACCTGATAGTCTTCTCAAACTTCCTCGCCTTCTTTTTCTCTCTGTATCTTAGGACTCTTGCCTCCCTTTCCATCGGACTAAGTTGAGATGGCATCTGGATAGGAGGGCTGGAGAAAAGGTCGATTGTCCCTCTTGGAGCACTTTGGTGCGAGATTGAGATCTCGCTCATTGCTGATTCTGGCACCACCCCAACATCCATGGATGACATGGAGACCTAATTAAATGAGTAAAGAAAAGCAAATGTTTAGAACCATATGAAAATTTCACCAAGTTGTCGGGAACTAATTGGATTATCACTATCTGTAACATATATTTTTCTGTTGCCTATAAGATCATACTCACTATGTTATTAATGGATTACTTGGAAGTTAATGATGTCAATCCTAAATCAATCACTTGGAAGAAAAGGGGATGAAAAACAAAAGTGCTCAAACACTTGTACCCTCAGATTCCATCCATTAAAGGAGAAATATAAAGGTAAAAGGAATAGAGAGCTCTTAAAGTGCAGAGAGATATCCCCTTCGGATTTTTACCAGTACAAGCAGTGTGAGTGGTAGAATATGATACTTCTAAGCTCTTTAATCTTGACACACAAACGATTCTAATATCCAGTCTACAACTAGCTTTATGAAGATACCTAAGTGATACTAAAAGGAGTACGCAGACTGGTTCAGCTAGTTTAGCAACTTAATTGTCAACAAAGATAGAAAATAATTTAACATATGTATAAAGCTGCCGATAGTAAAAATGAGATTAAATTTTGAGAACACTTCGTTGAAATAGGTTGTGGACTAAAGATATTTCCCAATGATCTTAACATGAACTTAATAGAGCTCAAAACTGTTCAAGAGAAGATACTATGATAAAATTTCTGAGAGTATTAGAACTTTTGGTAAATCCTACAGTGAGTTGTACTTACACCTTGACTGATTGAACCGTCGTAGCTATAAGCAGCTTTAGCGGGCTCATACTCCAATCCCAACTGAAAATTGTGATACTGTTGTTGCTGTTGTTGTTGATGATCCTTTCCTTCTCCATACTGAATCGGCACAACACTGTCACCCCCACAACTCTTTGGAGGAACACTGTAGTGTTGCTGATTATACTGATCAGAATATTGATTCTCAGCACATGAGTTGTACTCAACAATATCCAAATACTCATCAACCTCCCCACTAAACACGAAGCCATTATTATTCTGGTTGTTGCTGTTCTTCGCAGGATTTAGCAACAGCCATGAAGCAGCCTCATCCTCATCCTCCTCACCAATAGTCTCCTCTCCCTCTTGTGTCATGAACTGATCTTCAGTCTCACCAGCTGCAGGCCCTACTTGGGTACCGTAAGGGCAGCCGGAAATGGGCAGAATTGGGACTCGTTGGTGGCGGCGTGCTAGTGGGTTTGCAGAGTGAATATCAGCATCACAGGCAGTACACAGAGATGCCGCATCTGCTTTGCACAACAAGGCAGCCGGGGAGCGCTCACACGCCTCGCACACCCGCACGCGCTCATGGCGCGATGCGACACGATTTGCAGCATGCACACGGGCATCACAACCGGCACATAGGTATGCCGAATCAGCCCGGCAGTAAACAGTGCAAGCTGCTGCACGGCACGTGTCACATACGCGTGCCCAATTGTTAACGACGACGCCGCCGCTGCCGCTGCCGCCGCTCTCTTCCTTCAGCATCACTTCCTCTCTTTTTCTCCCAATACCAATCTCAATTATACTGTCTTTAGCTGTGTATGAGAGTGAGTGAGCATTAGGTGCAAGGATGAGGGATACCTGTAGGAAAAACACAAGAGGGGAGGAGAGTATCAAGGACGTGACACGTGGCATAAATTAAGTGGCTGAGAAGTTGTTTCATTATCTTGTGGCTGTTTGAGTGTCGGAGTGGGTCCCAGTTAAGAGAGAGTTACTGCATGGTTTTCTGCTATGGCTCTTAGTAAGAACCGTTTTGGGGTTTGGAGTACATTGCTGGGAATAGAGAAAGATTGCAATACTCGCTTGCTTATGAAGACACTTGTCAGAGTCAAGTCGTTGTTGGTCCACTCTGTAATGGGTAAGATTCTGCGAATACACGTGTCAGTCAGTGAGTATTAGTTTTCATGGTTTTTTGGAAGTTGTAACATGTGAATAACACGTGGAGTGTAATGGGTTCAACATTTGGTGGGGTTTTCAGCTTTCTTGAGATGCAAATTTTGACGTTGTAACGTTGAAGTTTTGAGCTGATAACTAAGGAATGTTTTATAGTATTTTTTAAAATATTTTTTATTTAAAATAATATATTTTTTAAAATACTTTCTTATATTAATATATTAAAATGATATAAAAACATTAAAAAATATTAATTTGAAGTAAACAAATTTAAAAATTAATTTTTTAAAAAATATTTTTGAAACTTAAAAACAAACATATCAAAATTTATGCTAAGCAATACCCCGCAGGCTAAATAAAATCTTTTTTAATATAAAGAATATTTTAAAAGAATTAATACTCAAGTGATTGGTTTAATTTTTCATTTAAATAACATGATTAAAATAATACAACAATGATAATATAAATTGCAAAAAAAATAAAAAATAAAAAATAAATTAATTTGAGTCAACTTGAATTGTGAAATAATTTAATGATAAAGGATAAAATTAAAAAATATATATAAAAAAACTCAGTCATACGAAGTTAACACGCAAACTTTGTTATAATGAACATAATATTAAGATAATCTCATAGAAAGAAATGCAAGAAAAAAGTTTGAAAATAATTTCTAATAAATCAAATGAGAACAAGGTAACTCCATAAAAGAAAAAACAAAAAGAAAAAAGGTGAAACTCAATCTTTAGAAAATAAAATATTGAACAATGAAAATAAAATAAAATATAATTTAAAAAAGGTAAAAAAAAAAAAAACTCGATCTGAGACCACTTAAGTCTACAAAATCTCTAACCCAATTGTGATATCAGGATGATTGCATTAAAAAACAATTAAATAATATCATGAAGCTTAATATCAAATAATTTAATGTTGAAGAACAAAACTGAAAAAAATTAATTTAAAAAAATAATGAAAAAAATAAGATAATTA